ACGGACGTCGCGCGGGCATAATGCAGTGTGGGTCATTGTGGATAGACTCACCAAGTCTGCTCACTTTTTGAGTATGAAGACCACGGATACATTCGAGACCTTGAGCCAGTTATATATCCGTGAGATAGTGCGGTTACATGGAGTTCCGCTTTCTATTGTGTCGGATCGTGACTCTCGGTTTGTGGCGCGATTTTGGCAAAGTCTACAACAAGCCATGGGGACAGAGTTACATTTCAGTACCGCGTTCCATCCCCAAACAGATGGCCAATCTGAGAGGGTGATACAGATTGTGGAAGATATGCTACGTGCATGTGCGTTGGACTTCAAGGGGAGTTGGAGTGACCATTTGCCGTTGGTGGAGTTCGCGTATAACAACAGCTATCAGGCAAGCATTGGGATGGCACCGTATGAAGCATTGTATGGAAGACCGTGTAGATCCCCGACGTGTTGGTTAGAAGCGGGCGAGAGTAGCTTGTTTGGGCCAGAGATTGTTCGGGAGACTACAGAGAAAATTCAGCTCATCCGGGAAAGACTACGCACGGCACAGAGTAGACAGAAAAGCTATGCGGATCGAAGACGAAGACCATTAGAATTCCAAGAGGGGGACTATGTATTCCTTAAGGTGTCCCCCAAGAAGGGAGTATTTCGATTTGGCAAGAAAGGGAAATTAGCACCAAGATATACCGGACCCTTTGAAGTGATCAAAGTTGTGGGCAAAGCGGCATATCAGTTGCGGTTACCAATTCAGTTGTCTGGAGTACACGACGTATTTCACGTGTCCATGTTGAGAAAGTGTCAATCGGATGCAACGCCGGTCGTAGACTTGGAAGACATTGAGATTCAAGACGGAGCAACCTATGAAGAACAACCGGTGAAGATTCTTGACGCCAAGGCGAAAGTGCTTCGCAACAAAGTAATCAAATTGGTGAAAGTCTTGTGGCAACATCATGGAGTGGAAGAAGCTACTTGGGAACCGGAGCTGGAAATGCGGGAGAAGTATCCATTTCTGTTCGTTACTGGAGGTAAGTTTCGAGGACGAAACTTTCTTTAAGGGGGGTGGATTGTAATACCCCACATGCGTTTAAAAAAAAAAAAAAAAAAAAAAAAAAAAAAAATAAAAGACATAGGTGTTCAGTAATTATTTCATTTGAAATGATAAAATAGTATAACTCAAGGAAAGAGTAGTTAAAAGATTAGTTTCGGTATGAAAATGTACAAAATAAATCATAAAAGAACTTGAACTAATTAGGTCGATGTAGAAAAGTATGTAGGATAAGTTAGGATTAAAGTTGGAAGGATTGGAAGTGAAAAGGGGCGCCCAAATGGGCGCTGGGGCGCTGCTCCGGGTACATTGCCTACTCCGGACCAGTTGTCGTAGAATCGTCATAACTCTTGCTACAATGGTCCGATTGAGCTGAAATTTTGACACAATGCAGAAGACATCTAGATCTACAACTTTCATGTTTTGCACTTTTTCAGATTCAAAGTTTATCATGATCAAAAATAAGGAAAACAGTAAGTCTGGAAAACCCCCAAAACAGACGATGAACAGTAAAAGTCGGGATTTTTGGGTTTTAAAACACCCATTCCAAGCCCTATTTCTCCCATTCTTCATTTCCCTTCCACTCTAAATACCTTAGAGCCCTAAGAGAAGAGAAAAGGGAGAGAAAAACACCAAGGTCAAGAGAGATTCCCACCTCATAAAGATCAAAACCGAATTTCTCAAGTTTTCTCTTCTCCACCCATTTCTTTTGCTTCTATTCCTCAACCACTCACACCCAAATCTCTAGAAACCCTAGGAGGACGAAATTAAGAGGAAAAGGAAGGAGAATAGGAAGATTTTGAATCTTGGGTCTTAGATTGAAGCTACAACCAAGAGGTAGGGGATTTCTTCCTAATTTCTTACATTGAGGCTAGGGTTTATGTATATACATATGTTTTCCACTCCCATCCATATTTATTTGATATGATTTGTATGATTCTTAATTCTCCTTGTAATAAATGCTATGTTTGAATAATGGGATGGTTTGGTAACCATTAAATTTCTCTTTTTCATCTTCCAAACTTGGTTTTAAGAAAAATTGAGTTTTCTCCATATATTGCCTTGGTTCTCACTTTATAAATTTAGTGTTCGATATTGTTCAACGAAAATGATCTTTATATTGATCTTTTGCTCATTTTAATTCCATCTTGCTATGACGCTTTACTTGTGAAATTTGGGTATTTTGCGATTAATTGGTAAAATGTGAATTGATTGAGAATATGTTGGTTTACTCATTGTATGGTGGTTGGGAGGGACTTGGATTACCTACGAGATATGCCGTAGAGTGTAAATGTCAGTTGAACCCAGTGGGGGGGGAGATGGTTTCTTGCACTTGTAGTGAGTTGTCATTTGGTAATGCGACCACTATCGTACGCCTGGAGTTCGAACTAGGGTTGGTATACCATTCCTGGGGAGGGACTCGTCACTGCCATTGGGATGGTAGACGCCCCTTCCCTAAGTACTTGTGATTGTGATTATAAATGGGTGGACTAGGTATAATCGTTGGGTAGATTCATGAGAAACAATCAACATACATGGTACGGGGATGAACCAACATAAATGTGATGATTGGCTGGAATGGCTTGGCCGGTGCATTGGTATGGGACGATGCATCGGAGGGAGCCCCTCCTAATTGACTTAATGTTGGAAATGGTTTGCTATGGTTAAACTTAATTTATTTCTCTCCTTAACTACTGTATGGCTTAAACTTGAGATCTATTTAAAATGTCCCGTTTTACTTCAAATTCATATATGTTATTTATGAAATGTGACCGACCCGTTTTGTATTTTATAAACCTTGTTGGAGTTGGGAAGATTTTGCTACAGAGCCTAGTGCTCATCCCCTACTGTTAACATTTTTCAGACTATATCCTTGAGGAGGAGCCAGGAGTCGAGGAGCCCGTTCTTTGGGAGACTCCGATCGACGGGAGCGTAGATCCCGAGGTGGACGCCTAGAGCGGCCCTTCTATTTTGTTCTAGACTAGGCTATGTTTTTTTGAAAGATTGTAAAGTCTAGTTATCTTTTGAAATTCCGCTGCTTATCATAGTTTAATTCTTTGGGAATGTACATGCCATTGTGGGCATATTTTTTTGGGTTAACATGTAAATTTGATGGATTGATTATATAGTAGTTAATTGGACCCGGTGTGGTCATTATAGTAGAATTGCACAGGTTGGATTTTGTGGTAGAGCTCCCCGTACAAAGGAGACTCTGCCCGAATTTTGTTAAAATATCAATGGTTGATGGATAAAAATTTCTTATTTATGGATTTATTTAGTGCTCTCATGATTGTGAAAGGTTTTAGAATGTAATGCCGTCCGAGGGGGTATTTGGGGCGTTACAGTATTAGCAGGAAAAAATTCGACATGGAATTTTTCTTTTTGGGTGGAGCATAAATATATTTCAATCACCCATTCCTTATCAATTCCTTGTCTAAACTTGCATTTCATGCAAATAAAAGTGGTCTAAATTCCTTAATAGTTAGCCTATCCTTTGAATTCAATGGTTTTTTTTTTTTTTGTCAAGTTTTTAAAGAGGGTTGTCAATATGCTGAAAATATGGAGCAGATTGCGATGAATCAACATGCTGCAATTATGGAAGAAAATGAGGCAAAGATAAAGTAAGGAAAATCCTATAGTTGACAATCATAATTTCTATGTGCAAGGTTGCTGTAAATTAGCATCGAGTGTAGTGATGTAAGTTAGCCATGATTTTATGTCATTCAATTATAAATACAAATGATAGTATTTTTGTTACTCATCATTGAAGAGACCAGATTCTCGAAAGCAAAACTCGATATTCTGAAAAATTCGTTAGTTTTGTGAACCATACATTATTATGTATTTAATGTTTATGTGAGTGGGAATAAGGTGTAGCCAACGTGCAAACCAGGCCCAAATCGAGTCAATCTTATATATAAGTGCTTACACTATTAATATATGGTAGTTTGCCCAAAATCAGCAGTCATTATAAACTTTCTAACAATCCTTCAAAGTTAACTTTTGGTGCAGTACTATAGGGATCTAATTTGTAGTGACTGAATTTATTGTAATTATTAAATTAGTTGTAAGTTCTAACATTGTATTGAACCCACTTTTAATCCATCAGTCAAAATTAGTTAGTTTTACAGATAAGGTTCTCAAATAAGTAGAGATAGCATCTTTCTAACTTTTATTATTGCCAAAAGATTAATTCTAAACTTTTTAACCAAAGAAACCCTAACAAAAATGAAGTATGTCCACTCACTTAATGTTACGGAAATGGTTGTGAAAGGGACAAGATACAGAAAGTTGAAGCACATTGGAATGAACCGGAAAAACAACTTAAATCTTTTATTAAATGAACTGTGCATCAGCATTGTAACAAGCCAAAGAGAGATGAGCCTTCCATGCAAAAAAGCACATTGACCAGTTCAAATTTACTCTATACAGGAACTCACCATCATTGAGTTAGTCAACATAGAACAAGGTAATAGGCCATGAGCTGATAAGCACCAGACTACCAGTATAAGATTGGCAAAATAGTTGGCCGTCCGGATAGGTCTACGGTACTCGAACAAAAAAAAAGTAGTTAGTACACTGAAGTTGATTGAGAGTCATAGAATTTGATTTGATTGATTTGTAGTAACTGGTTTTAAAAAATTTTAAAAAAAAAAAAAAATACACGTCAAAATCTTATTGGACAAAATGTGGGGTACCGGTATTGTAACCGCCTTGTCGGTACTGTGATATTCAGCCCTCTTAGGGATTGGTGTTGTGACATTTGTACACTTGTATTTGGCAGAACCTAAGCATAAACTTCTGGTAATTTGTTGACCCCATTTTCCTCTTGGTTTTTATGTTGGGTAGGCGGCAACATTTCATGTTTAAATGTAGCTTAAAATAGCTCTTTGCACTAATGAAATTTCCTCTCTTGCCGACTTGTTGCCGTTGAAGCATTCTTTCCCTGCAGATTTCTATGGCTGCTGGTTATGGGGACCGATCCTTGAAGGAGACTCCAACGTGGGCTGTTGCCCTAGTCTGTACTGTTTTTGTGATTATTTCTATTCTTATTGAACATGGGATTCATAAGCTTGGAAAGGTAAGACTTCTAGCTCCTATTTGTTCGTCAATTATCGGGAGTTCACGATGGTTTTGTTAAACTATTATTTATACTCTAAATATTTAAGTTGTGAGAGAGGGTATAACTTAATTATTATTTCTTCAATATGTCCCTTATATGCAAATTATATTTTGAGTCTAGTACTTGATAATTGTTTCATAATCAGGGTGACAATAATATTCGGATACAGAAACTCATACTTTGACACCATATTAAATCATTTGAAGCATGTCAACTTTGCCCTAGTAATATTGATAAATTCTCTATGCTGTACTGGTTGAATAAAATGGAAGAAAATGATTTTTCTTCAAAATAAATTATTTACTTGGTGTTTGAATTTCAGTGGTTTCAGAAGCGCCAGAAGAAAGCCATGATAGAGGCTTTGGAGAAGATTAAAGCTGGTCCTTTCTTTACCTCCTCTTCTCTTCAATTAGAATCAATTAAATGTAGAGAAGCTACAAGTTTGCAGTTCTCAAAAACAGCTACATGTTTAGACAGAGTACCACATTCACTTATATTTTCTCTACTTCTCCTTTTGATAACAAACACAAAAATTACATGCATCTTATAAACTGTTTCGTAATGCTTTTTTTAATTTTTAAGTAAAATAAAATAATTTCGTCAAAAGGTAAGAGCATGTTTAATTACTATTCTCCAAAATTGGATCTAGATTCATTTTAGGATGTAACGTTGTGTATATTCTCATACAAGAAAAAAAAAAGACAAAAACAAATGGTAAAAAAAGTACTCAAAAAAGAAACATAAATACTTAAAAAATATCATCAAACGGTACTTTAATCATTTTTTTTTCAATTTCATTTCTAACAACACGACAGAGCAATTGTGACTTTTATTATTGTTTTTCACTTTTGGCATTCACTAGTCATTAATATATTTCAAAAAACAACGATTTGTAGTCACACAAAGAAAAATAATGAAAAGACAAGAGTATGCAGGCCTTCGATCAAAACCAAGTGTAATTCCAAAACGCCTCATTCTGTTGTGCATGGCTAATTTGGTTTTTTCTGTTTTATTTACCAAACAACCACAAAGTGCCACATATAGATCTACCTTTCACCATTTTCTGCATATAATGACATTAATATTCTTTCATGGAGGAACTATATTACGGAATTTCTATTTAAAGAATTGCTAAATATTTAAAAATTGCCAAATAATTGCGTGAATCATTGTAATTTTCCCTAAAAAAAAATGCAGAGTTGATGCTACTAGGCTTCATATCTCTACTTATTACTGTTGGAACAAAACCAATCTCTAAGATATGTATTCCAACCAAAGCTGGGGACATTATGCTTCCATGCAAGAAAGAGTACAAGGAGGACTACGACAAAGACAAAGACAAAGACAAAGGCAATGGCAATGATAGAAGACAATTATTGTGGTATGCCGGAGATGCTATAACGCGGCGAGTTCTTGCTGCTGTGGGTGGCGATGACTACTGCACTAGCAAAGTGAGGAAAATAAATATTATCATACAAAGAATTCAAATACTCTAATTGTCCACAAAGTTTGAGTTTGGTATTATTTTGATATTCTTTCTCCCCAACTATTTATGGAACTATCAAAAACACCGCTCAAGTTTGGTCACATATACACGTGGTTACTTTTATTGGTCAATTTTAAACTGTTAATTTTTATTGAACCAATTAGACTTGAGTTGAAAGCTTCATACTAAAAAGACAAAGCTTTGATCATTACTTTGTTTTATGTGAAAATTTATAAGTTCTCGATAAGTCGTTTGTGGTTTGAGTAATGCTATATGGACTTAAAAAGTAGACTTAAAACTTAGACTTGATAATCTCAATTATTGAGTAGGTAGTGGGTCCCAATAAATACTAAAACCTACAATGAAATCAATGATTATAATTATCAAGTTTGATTTTTAAATCTATTTTTTAAGTTCATGTAGTATTGCTCTTGTGATTTTATAAGTGATACTTGTTTTGTGGATGGCAGGGCAAAGTAGCATTGATTTCTCAATCAGGCGTGCACCAACTTCATATCTTCATATTTGTGCTCGCCATTTTCCATGTTCTCTACAGTGTGCTCACCGTGGCTCTAGCAAAAGCCAAAGTATACCTATTTCTTTCATTTATATACTTGTATTCACTACATAATTTGGTGATTCCTTATAAAGTAGCAATATATATATTCAATTATCGATTGTACATTTATTTATGCTGCTAAATAATAACGAACTATTAAGGTTACCTCGGATAGTTGGGGCCTCACCTCTCAATGGAGAAGTTTGAGATTGTATGTGGCAAAAAAATGCTAGATGTTATTGAGTCTAAGACCTGAATTTGATCCCACAAGTCGCTTAGCGACTCATATATGGGTGTCCTTCTACTTTGAAAATCCAACCTTGACTATAACAGAAAGTTCTGGGAATAAATTCGAAACATTGATGTATACAGAAAAAATAATGGTTTGTTTAATTGTTTATAACAGATGAAGAAATGGCAGGCATGGGAACAAGAAACGGATTCCTTGGAATATCAGTTTACAAATGGTAATCATCGTTCTTGTTTGGTTTTATTTCTTTGCTTTGCTCGGGAAATAAAAATATCTGAATTTGATGTTCTTGTTTCGAAAGACCCTTCAAGATTTAGGTTGGCTCATCAAACCTCCTTCGTTCGGCGCCACAGTGGAATTTCAAGAATGCCAGGAGTTCGATGGATTGTAAGATGCAATCTTCTTAATATATTACCCGCTGATCGATAAATATAAAATAATGTTTGTTATTTGTACATAATTTAATAACCACATTTATTGAGTTGATCAAATGCTTTATATTGCAGTGAGATCATTCCCAATATAATTTTCACCATTTCTCTCTTTCACACATAACCTATGTGGATTCAAGCAGAATCCATTATATATAAGTATATCTCTCAATAATACATGATAAATATAAGTATATCTCTCAATACTACATGATAAATTTATCAAGTAGAAAAATAGAGAAAAAAAATTATTGGAGACGATTTAGATCTACTAATTCAAATTTAGAGTTGGGACTTATTATGAATCCAACAAATGGAATGAATTAGATCTATCAATTAGATTACATCTTAGGGTACTCCATTGTCTCTCTAGACTTGATGTATTTTGCTTCATTTAAACACCCACAAATTGATGCAGCGGAACAAGGAACACCAAAAACGTTACGATTGTTTATATATTGAACCAAAAAGAATACTCTGAATTTACAGAGAAAATAAAGAAAAACACTGAAATATAATATTATTCAATGAATCATTCATAGTACAAAGGAGCAATATAAATAGGAGTGACCAAACTCTAATTGTTCTCATAACTGAAACAAAATCTCTAAAATTACAAAAAATATCAAAAATAGAAATATTAAATTTTTATAATTAGCATAAAAGCAAGTGTTGTCTAAAGTTTAATAAAATTGACTGCGCTGAATTCAGAATCCTTTATAATTTATTATTAATTTATCAAATCTTTTTAAAAATGGTAAAAACGGGATTTTGTGAGTCTAAACGATGGAATTCATCTCAAAGCTGAAAGAACTCATAGCAAATAGATGAGTCGTGAAAGAGTTCAAACACCACTGGTTCAACTGAATTTCAAATCTGATTTATTTTGTCACTACTATTACTTTTTGGTCTTCCTTGTGTTTTAACGGCATGATCATGCACGGTCAACCCGTTTCAAATACTCTGATACCAACTGTTCTATATTACAAATTGACATAGGATATTTAGGTGTATGCCACTGGCATGGTTCAAAATTTAGGCGATTTTAATCTTTTATAAAATACAAATATTAGTTTCTCTGACTCTATCAGTTTTTATTCTAAGAGATGTTATATAAATAATTGCAGGTGGCCTTTTTCAGACAATTTTGTAATTCTGTTTCAAAGGTGGACTATCTGACCATGCGACATGGATTCATTAACGTAAGTGGTTTTTCTTGTTTTAAAGTATTCTCAAGGTGACAGGGACATGGAAATAATTAATTAATTTATGATGGTCTTTTTAAACATATATATTAGAAGGCATTTGAACCTCTAAGGGTGCAATGGGGTCAGGACCGCTGAACATATAGGTCAAGTAGGCCATTGCTGAGGGCCCCCATTTGAAGGGGCGCCATATTTTTCATGCTTTTAATTTTTGTTTGATCTTTTGTTTTTCCCTTTTTCCGGATTAAAATATCTTTTTTTTAATGATTATGATATAACTCTATTTAGATATTATTATATATTTTTGTAAGTCACACTAGCCAGTATAATTTTACTTTTACACCCTATTTTACCACTTGATCATGACTATTGGTAACTTTTGTCAAAATTAACTGATGATGCATAAAATGTGTTTATGTACCACCTATCAAATATTTAATACAGTAACTAAGAAAAAGACTCAACACAAATAAATACAAATTAAGTAATGAAGTCAGGGTGACCTACTCTATTAGGAAAGGTTATGGTAGCCTAAGTATTTTAATGCTCAAGAAGTGTAGAATATTTAGATGTGAGTAATGTCCCCTTTGTGTAGGTGGGGCTTACAATATATAGAAACCTCCTAACAGATTGAAGCATCATTGTCGTAATAGGTGAGACAATTTGGTGGAGGTGACATCATTCTCATAATAGGCAAGACAGTTTGGTAGAGGTAGCATCATTTGCATAACAGGCAAGGCAGTCACGTGGAGGTGGCGACGTGTACCCAATGATTGCGTCCCACAAAGATCTCATAATGTGTTAGTTGTGGATTGAGTCTCTCAAGATGACCATGTTGACCCGACTGAATTTTTTTGATCCTATGGTGGGTTTGACTTGTATATTTGAGTTAGGTCTGGTCTGTATTTCTAAACTGGGCCTAATCTGCATTTCTAAACTTGGTCTGGCCTGGACCGGGCCCATCATTTGCCCACAATGCCTCGTAAGAAATCCAATAGGATTTGGGGAGAGGGCATCGATAAGAAATCTTGTTGTTGTCCTCTTTTAATAGTTGAGGCCTTTTAGAAACAAAACTCTGATGAGAAAGAGGTAGATACAACGGGGCTGTAGAGGAGGAGTTGTGGGTGGCTCACGAGAAACCTACACCTCTTGAGGTTGAGTTTTTGACCAAAAAAGCCACTAAGATAGAGATTGATGCTGCTTGAGTGAGAACAGAGGTAATGTCAGGCCGAACATAAGGTGACTTGCGAGGGAACCGCTAAGTTTGAGATTGAGGCTGCTCGCGTGAAAGTAGAAGCAGAGCTTCTATCAACTCACGAGAGAGCCACTAAGTTGGAGACTGAGGCTGCTTGCGTGAAAGTAGAGACATAGTTTGGTCAAGTTTTGGTGACTCATGAGAGAGCCGCTATACTTGAGACTGAGGCTATTTGCATGACAGTAGAGGCAGAGTTAGGCCGAGCTTTTAGCAACTTGGGACAGAGCCGCTAGGCTTTAGATTGAGGATAATTGCATGAGAACAAATATAGAGTTAGACTGAGGTTTTGGAGGCTCGCAAGAAAGCCGCTAAATTGGAGACTGAGGCTACTTGTGTAAGAGCAAATTTAGATGGAGCTTTTGGTGACTCGCAAAAAAGCCGCTAAGCTGGAGATTGAGGTTGCTTGCATGAGAGTGGAGGCAGAGTTAGGCCGAGTTTTTGGCAACTCACAAGAGAGCCATTAAGCTAGAGATTGAGGACTGCTTGAATGGGAGCAGAGGTAGAGTTAGAGCAAGATTTTGGCAACTCGCGAGAGAGCCACTAAGTTGAAAACTGATGTTGCTTGCGTGAAGCTGTAGATAGAGTTAGGCTGAACTTTTGGCGATTCAAGAGGCTCACTCCGAAGAGATTGAGAGGAGGAGGGAGATGGCAGTGAGGGTAGCCAGAGGGCGCCGACAGCAAGTGACGCGTGTTAGTGCGAGTAATAAGGCGTTATGTAGGAGGCACGAACACCGGAGGGATAGAGCCAACAGAGCATGGGCGTCAGGCGAGCAGAGTGCTTGAGGGGAGGAGCCCAGATACACTAGTATGGGTGATAACAGGATCCAGGGGCGCTGTTGAACAAACTGAGCACATGTAATTCAGGCACAGGTAGCGCATCGAAGCACACAAGGAGGTAGGCGATGAGGTGTGTAACATGGGCGCTAGCACGTGGGCGAGTGCTGGCTAGTGCTAGTGCTAGTGCCTAGGTGCTGGGCGCAATGAGGTGCACGATTTTGGTGCTAGCGTATGGGCGCTGAGGCGGGCACAACACTGGCAGCGGCCTCTTATAGTGATGATGATTGCGACGAAAGTGAGGTACTGATGGCTAGAGTTCTCAGGGCATCCCTAGAGGTGGTAGAAACAATGTTACCTAGTGTCTTCATCCATGCAAACATTATGATAAAGTAGTTGTTAATGACGATAGTTACAAGATGAGTACTATTTTGAGTAGCATCAGATATTGGAATTTTTAGGATTGTCTTTACTTTCAGTATTCCCCTCCACATGAGGACTCAGCTTGTATAGCTTTAGCGACATCCTCAGTGTTTATGTATTTTGGGAATTTTTATAGTAATTTATATCATGTTCTTTGGTGGGGCACTTCAAAACTGAAACCATAAGACTGTATGAGCCTTCTCTAAAGGCTGCCATGGTGGCTTTTTCATCGGGATCTTCAATTTAGAGTACCTTCTCGTTAAAATGAGTGAAGTAAGCCCTTAAACTTTCATCCCGGCCCTGCTTGATGCTGAGTAGGTAGGGTGGCAAACTTCTGGTGTCAGTGTCCTAACTTGATCCGAAATGTGTACACCCAAATGTAAGCGGTCAAGTTGTAGTTATAATCCGGTTAAGTCTAGAGTGAAATCTACAAGGAACTAATGTTGGTGTTTCGGAGTAAATAGTGACTGAGACCAAAGTGATTGAAACCCTTAAGATTTGAAGTTATGATGTTTATGGAATTTCCTTGACTGAATATAAGATTCTCTCTAAAGGGTTTTTTTTTAACAAAATATAATATTCTGTCAAATGTAAAAGTCACCCTTTAGCTCGAGGATTTGAACATGTAGTCAATCATTCGGTTGTTATATTTGTGCTTGAGAACTCAATTAACCCATGTGTCAACAACAAGTAAATTGGAGGATAAACATGGAATGTAAGAATTAAGAGCATGGTTCCGATGTCTTTATAGAGATTTACAAGAATTGTCCGTTCCGGGACTCAATCCATCTACTAACAAGCAAGTAATTCTACAAGTCATCCAACCACTGTGTTAGTATTCCATTCTTAGTTGAAGCACAATATTGGTGAATATTAAAATATAATCATGAAGCTCTAGTTGGATTACTTGCAAAGAACCAATGAAACCTCCTATGCCAAGAGTCATCTTGTCTTGGAAAGGACTCATGGTTGTACAAAGTCCCTTAACTTTGCTAGATGCATTCAATCTTCAATAAGCAATCAAAAGATAAAGCATTAAGCATAAACGAATGTACAATATAACTTCCAAATGATTTATACATGTCCATCACCGCTTACTAAAAAGTGACTGAGAAACTACTCACTCTTCATGACTTTGAGAAAGCTAGAAAAGTGAGTGATTCTCATCCCTCCAAATAGAGGAGTTACAAGGTAAAATAAACTACAAAACGAGTCTATCTTCAACGAAGAATAAGTGAATTACTTTTCAGCCTTCAAAGCTACAAGAGAGCTAGAAAAGGTGGAAGAGTTTCACTCCTCTAAGTGAAGAAATAAGCTTTTACAATAGAAGCTAGTGAAACT